AACTTTTTGCGGTAAGAAGAGATCTGGATGATTCCTATACGAGGCCTATTTACAACGATCCTTACAATGAATATATAGCAGAGAGTAGGCGTTTTCTGGCGTAGCTGAACGCGTAATTACAGCTCTGTTCCTTCCTGCCTGTCCGCAAACAAGGATTTCAAAGCAACTAGGGGACTAGAACAGTGAGAGCGTCATCGAACGGCGCGCGGAAATGGCAGTGATCCGTGATCTCGACCTGTTCCAGAGGGTAGATTCATTGTTGTACGCGCACGGAGCATTTAACGAAATTAAAAATGGAATCTTTGGAAAAATTGCGCGCACGCGATATGTATGTACGTGTATCTTATACACGAAGCTATTCGAACGTTTGTCGAGTGAAATTAAATAATGTATAGGGTGTTACATTAGCTGGATATTATTGGAGGATTGATTATTGAGGCTAAAAACAACCAAAACGAAAGTTGATATACAAAAATGTTGCTCGTTTATGAGGCTGACTTTTATGTTATATCAAAGTCTTTTGTAATTTGTTTCAACTTTTAGAATCGATTATCCAAAGGTATGGTATAAATATATTAACACCCTGTATACGTTTTATACATAAGTAATGGTATAATCATTGTAAGATACAAGTATTAAGATAACGCGTAGAATAAAATCTTAAATGAATATTTATGTTAATAGCATTCCACGTTTCAATAATTTTCAATTTTAATGGCGATTATCTTATATTGTTTATCATAAATCTTCAATAAGACTCTAAGCTTTATTATTAGAATATATCTTGTATATCTTCTACGATAGTTATAACATTATACTTAAAACATGATTATAATACATGTATTTTTTACCAAACTCTAATTTTATTCTCATATTGTTAAATAATGTAAAATATAATACACTCGGGTCAAAATAATTAATATGTAATTGCCACAATAAATAAAACGATATACAAATACTTTTATAAAAATAAGTAAACTATGTATATATATATATTGAAAGATTAAATTCTTACATAACGATACTCGAATACTCGTGGAATTGCTTGCTGCAACATTTACCGAATATTTTTCAGTCTCAAAGCGGAAGATCGATATCCGTCAAGGGTCAGCGCAATATCGCGTGTAGAAGCTCGAGCTACCCTTCGAAATTGGCATATGGCATGAGGGATGAGGGTGAAATATATTAAAATACATTTCGAAGGTCGATGGTGGTTCAAAGCGAGGGTGAACGAATGAAAGTATTCAAGTCGATTTTATCGTCGTGTCACGAAATCTAACGTGTCGCGTATAAATATGATAGTTAATTTTCATAGAGGCAAAATTACGTACGCCATCTGTTTCGTCAATCTATAATAATGACGTAACAAATGAATAAAGCCATTTCGCATATCAAATTTTATGATATTTTTAAACACGATATTTATCAATCATAATTGATTATATATTAGATTGTTTGTGAAAGAAAGATTTCTCGAGCATGATAAAAATCTGAACTTAACTAATTTTCTATTATTTAAACTACAATTTATATGAATGTTTGTTGATATATTGAATAAAATAATAATTAATTAGATAAAACTCCTAATGATATGGACAAATTGATTATGTACATAATTCGAAACATTACAAGACTATATCTTTTAATAATTCAGAACTTCTTAATCATCCATTCATTATCCTCGAATGCCAAGCTGTATTTTCAAGCTAAGCAACGATTTGGCTGGAATCCAACTTCTAGAGCATACTTCATTAATTCATTTATTCCCCCTTAATTACACCAGAACATCATTAAGAACGATAATTCAAAAATTATTAAAAAAAAAAAAATAGAGAGAAAAGTAAAAAAACAGAAGAATTAAATGTGACAATTGTGCAAAAAGAATTCCACAAAGGACACGGTCACAATTTTTGCGATGACAAGCTGTTTGCTACACATTGCGCTCTCGAGAACATTGAGCATTCTCGGCACGAGCACGCGGATACCACGGGAATTTCGGAGTCCTTCAGAGCCGCGAGCTTAGAATAATCCATAGTCTTATTCGTGGGTGTGGACCAAAATGTACAGGAGGAGGAGGGGGAGGCCTCGAGGGTTGGAAAGTCACCTTAAAACGTGACCAGGAAGAACAAAGACTTCAATTTCGCCACGGATCGCCCTCTCTAAATCTCCTTACGGCCTCTCGAAAATTTTCAGTTTCTATTCAGCCTTAATTACCTTCTCTCTGTATTGCGTTTATGGAACGCCGCAACTTGACTGACGTTTAAAACGCTAATTAGGCATTGTTTAGCCCGGAGCAGATTTGTTCTAGCATGCCGATTTTCTCCGCTCCTAGTCTAGAAATTGACCGTTTTAGTCTTTGCTTCTCTGACTTTTGCACACGTGAGAATGCATCCAGCACGCTTGATGAAAATTGAAACTGCGAAACAGGATCCATATCTACCTCTGGGATTGGACGTGTAAAGTATCGTAAATGGAAGTTACTTGGTCAATTTTCAACATTTGGATTAACTCTTTAACATTCTGTTTCAAGTTTATTTTGCGTATCAATATTGAATCTTTGTTGTTTGATGTTTTGATGATTGGTTCGTATTCGATTTAACAACAATTCTGATCATATTGTTTTTTGATAAATATTTTAAATATTGTCAGCGAACGGACTTTGTTTTAAAACTATTTTCTTGATAAAAGAAAGTATTACATGTTCGGATGAAAATTTACACAGGAAATCTAAAAAATGAAACGAACACAAAATTACCATAAAAACGTCGATTGAAGTTTATTTATTAATAAGCAATTTAAAAATTTACAAACAAATTTATTGCTTGCTACATATTTCTTCGATGAAAAATTAAATTACTTGCAACTTAATAAACAATTCTCAATTGACACTTTTATATACCAATTTTTCTACGTTTTTGTGTTTCAACTGTCACTTCATAAATCTTCTCACTTTGTACAAATAATTACTAACTAATTGAAAACTTTTAATCTTTCTTCTTGATCCCATCCCTCGAATGCACACTTAAAGAAATCAATTTAAAAATTACACTGTCCAACATTATTATAAATTTATCACAAATGGGAAAGTACCGTGGCAACTACTTATAACTACAATTTCATTTCAAAATTATTCTCTCTCTCTCTCTCTCTCTCTCTCTCTCTCTCTCTCTCTTTCTCCCCCCGTGTCAAAGATTGAAATATATACTCGAACTCGCAATCGTGAAACATTATATTACCTCGTTAAGCATTTAATAAACGTGTATTAATAATAACCATCGATAAATCCACGTTCGCCAATGATTTTCTATACGAATGACCGAATCGATACCGATAATACGCAATTTACGAACTATCCGAGGAGCACCGCGTAGTCGTTTCAATTTTCCGCTTTCACGCAGGCATACCTACGCGCGCATCGCGCCATTCAATGCACGACAGATCTCACGAGAGAATATTCTGTGTAAGTGGATTTACAACCGGCACGTCGTTCGCATGCGAACGCAACGCGCAGATTTTACCGCGATTTACTTGTCACAAGCGCTAATATACCCTCGCCTGTCTGTTGAAAATGAAATTCGACATGTTCCGCCGCTTAAATCCCCGTTTCATAAATACGCATTCGCGTAACTATCATGGATTATTGTGTACGGAATAATGGTGTGCAAAGTGAATTTCGTTGGTGCTTAACATCGAGGAGGAGGGATCGAGAACGAGATTCGAAATTGAAATATCGGAAATAGTGCATTCTTCCTTTATTCCTTTTTCTAATATTCGAATAATATTGAATAAAATCCAAAGGAAAATTAATATTTCTCGATCGAATTTCGGAATACCTTCGAATCAAATAGAATGTGGAATGTGGACGAGAGATAAGTCGTCGTACGAATCGTGCGACAAACTGTGCGCAATATGTAGATTACGTCCATTGCATAAATTTTTCATGGAGAAAAAGATTTAAAATTTCAATGGGGAGCCATCAGACCCTCCAAAGGTTAATAAAAATGCGACTAATTTAAATACACGATGCTGGACTTTTGTAACGGAGAATCAATTTTCCTGTATATTTTTCTTTTTTTTTTTTTTTTTTCCTGTAGAAGGAAACGCGATCCAACCGATTCGAAAGCATGCCTTAAATATTACGTTGGACAAGCAGAAGGTTACATACATGTGTTCGTTAATGAAATACTCTGTTTGTACGCGCATGGAAACCCGAACCGTCTCGGTTGAGGCTAGAAAGGCAGTTACCTGAATGTCGCTAGTTCCTGGCAGCCAACTTGGCTATTACGGTTTCATTCTGTCGAGCGAATATACACGGAGAATTTTAATGAACGCGAGAAACTTTAAAGATCCGATAGGCATGTCTCGTAACGTCTGATCTTATCACTATCCGCTTCCACGAACCTTTGCATCCGCCGGGTTATTTCGCATTAGTATCACAGCCTTGTTACCTTTTGGTAACAGTTGAACTTCAAGAATATGAAAATATCGTCTTTGTACACTTTTTACGCGAACTCAAGTGACACGAGTAAATTATTTCATCAAAACCGAAATCAAATTTTATTTTTAAATTAAAACTTGTTGCATATAACGATTTTAAATATCTTTCAATATCGTTTTAAAATCAACCCTTGCTCTGTATCATTTCGTTGTAAAAAATATTCTCACGTGAATATTGTTTTCAAAATATGAAAAAATACCTGGAATTTTGAGAATTTCGATCCCATCAAAGAAACGTATCCTTCAAGAAAAAGAAAATACAATCCCTTATATCTACTCTTATATATGCATCATATCACGTTGCCTTCTAATCTTTTAAAATCAGAAATCACTTTCAAATAAGAGGAATTTTTCTTTTGTACCTAACAACATTGTATACATTAAATGAACATTAGCATAAAAAAAAAATTTTTTTTTCATTTTATCCGTCGATAATTCATTTTGTCCTGTCCCCCTCCATACATACAACGGACGTGTAATTGCAATTTTCCTTCCTGTTTCAGGCGATATCGAGGACTGCCTGGTTGCCCCGGTGGCCCAAGGGCAATTCACGCCGCTACCGGAAGCTCTTTGTTGGGCCATTTTGGAGTTGACCTCTCAGAGGCAAGCTGCCACCCTGGACACGCTCAGATCCGCCTTGAGGAACGCGTTTCCAGCCATGCAGAGACCTAGCCGCGAATTGGTCTACGATGCCCTCGCTAAACTGATGCAAGAGAGAAAGATCTATCACACGTCACAAGGTTATTTCGTGGTTACGCCCGAGACGAGGAGGCTTAGGCGCGACACAAGCAACTCGAGGAGATGTTCGAGAGAGGTGAGCGGATCGAGAGGTCAGGGTAGCATGCTCATGTCCAACGACGAGGCCATGGCGCTCGTACACGGCGAGATGCTAACCCTGAGGGACGGCGACGTGACGCATCAAGCTGTGCAGACGAATCTGGCAGACGTTATTTGCGGAGGTAAGAAATCCCTGGGCTCGTACGATACTCTACGATGATATATCTGCATTTTATCGTCAAGTTTAATCGGCGAAATTTTGCGAGACAACAGATAGAAATCGCGAGGAGCGTGGAAATGCCTCTTCTCTTTCGAGGGGACAGAATGAAGTAGTTTCGAAAGATTTTGTTCTTTTGTTCTTTTCTTTTTTTTTTTTTTTTTTCTCGTTCCTTTGTCCGATCGGAGGAAGATGATAAGAGCGAAATTCGCTCGTGAATAAGTCAAGCTTGCGAATCTTTGACGAATAATTCTGAATAATTTATCCTGTGTTAATACAAAGGATTGAATCTAGCTATAAAGAAGAAACGAATCCTTGGAATTTCGAATACGAATTATGATTTGAAAGAAGACTCGAATCAATATAACATCGTAACGTTAAAGAGAAAGAGTTTTCGAGTTTATTCATCCCTATTTCATATCTTATCGTAATTTTAAAAAAATCTCTCCCCATCAAAGCAAAGCTTCCTTCCGAGGGGAAACAAAGTATCGGTGTAAATCGATCGGAAGACAAAGTTGCGCCGCGCCGAGAAGGGGCTGAATCGGGCAGAAACTAGTCGGGCAAACCCGTTCGGCACGTGTTCGTTCGGGGATCGTTCGTTCGTTCGGAGCGAACGTTCCCTGCCCGCCACTCGATTCTTTTTCTCTAAACTCGATGGACGAGTCCAGGCGTGCGTTTATGTTGTTGTCGTCCTTGGAAGCGACGCAGTTCCCGCGCCGGAAGACCCCGTTGCGCATTCCATCCGTGGATCAGGATCGAAAAATTGTCGCGATTCGATTTAAATTGCGCCACTCTTATCTCGGTATTTAGAGTGGTTGTCGTCTCGGCCGCGAATTTATATCCCCGCGCGCGTTTTAAAATTAGAAATTCAAATGGAAATACAATATCACGAGGCTCGTATAAAGAAAAGTCAAAACATTTTTCTTTTACCCGATATCGTGCACGCGCCCGTTATGGCCAACGTGATTTCAGCATTGTACGATAATACCCGTTTCCATATATTGCTCTGCCCTATCAGCCTTTTCCCTCCAATGGCCGCTGTCCAATGGCCGGAACGTTGCGTGCAACGACGTTACATTGTTACCGGCGGCGTTGATCGCCAACCAGGTACCGAGCATCCTTGCATGCGATCGTGTCCGCTGCGAAAACTCACTCTTTGCAGTGGCTGCGCCCGGTTTCGCGAAGTTTTGGACCCGTTCAAACTGGAATTTTCTGGCGCATTGACACGGAAACACGTTGGAACATCTTGCATGCGTCTTCCATCCCCCTTACATACATCAGGACGCCGTGTATGGAGGACGTACACGCGAGCATCGGTACACATAGCGGAGAGGTGAACAGTGCCAACTCGGCGATCCCTGGAAAGCGTTTAGCACAGCCGATATATTAGCTATTGGTCACGACATTGTCTACCGTTACACACGCTGTCGAGATCACGTGGGGGGCCACGTATATAATCTTCCTACTTTTCCCCGACTTGTTTCTCGAGTGATTCTCACGCTGCTAACCTACAGCCGGTCGTCGCCACCGCCTCTGGCTCTGTGTACCGCGATGAAAATCAGGGACGGAGGGTGTTCCACTTTTTGAGAATACGTGTCGGGAAGACAGAGGAGCTCTCGATGATCGTTTCGAATCTTATATCCCTCTCTTTTCTGTATTTACCACGACGTGGAACATTCCTCTACTCTTACATCTTAAAATTCTCCTGTCATAATTCATCTCCCTCTGTTTCCCTTTTCTTATCCGTTTCCTCGAGTGTCAAAAAGATTATCATAGAAGAAACAAAATTCGCTAAAAACTTATTCCATTTTTGCGATTAGTAAGCGATTCTTGAATCTGGATTTGAAAGATATATGAAAATTTCCAGGTAATCCCAACGACAAAGTTCTGTTCGCAAGATGTCGATCGATGCCGGGTCGCCTGGAGAGGCGACATTCTCTGCGACTATGGGGATCCGCCAGACGTTTACACAGAAGCGGAAGTTCACGGTCTTTGCCACGAAGGCCGGAAAGAAGCGACACCTCGTCGAGCGCGGAGTACGCGAGCACGGACAGCGCGCCCCATAGCCCAACCAGTGAGTCGAGTCCGGGGAAGGGATTGTTTTTGGTGATGGATGATCGCTTAATCGGCAGACGAGTTAGCTTTCTCCACTTCAGCCTGATATGTGGATCCATCCTCTTTTACGTAAAATCGTCTCGCTTCGTATTTATATCGTGCAATGTGTAAAGAACAGAACCACTTGCTATTGCAATTTATAGTTAATGAAACTGTACTATGAAACTTTCTCTATTTTCTCGCTACAATATTTTTTATATTGTGTAAATAAGTTGTGATACAGGATGCAAATCTTATATCCTTGAATATCTTTGAAATTGTGGATTAACGTATGTAAACATTCAAAAACAAAAATCGAATTTAGAGAAAGACTACATTATGATTTATATAAAAAAATTATTAATTTAAAATTTTGTATAATGTTTGTTACATGAAAGACAACGTATTCTCTTCAATAATCTTTCGTTTCGCTTTTACTATTGTTAAACTAAAAAACCTTTAATATTGTTCAACTAATATTCATCGATAATTTCGAAGATATTCGAGTAATTGAATCGGTGATCACTCTGCGCAATGATGCTTTTTCTGCTGCTCCTCCATCTACTTCCGAAGCGAGTATCCTGGGTGGAGTGTTTTTGCGATCCCCCCAAGTTCCCACATCCGCGGCCACAGCTGAACATCCATCAGATACAGAAGCTTCTTAGACACCCTGTTAGCTGGCAAGCCCTTCCTCGATCCCCCTCAATCTCTCATTTAAGAAACGCAACATCGCTTCCTCCGCTTTTCTCAAGGTTTCTCCGGGATTTTTTCAGAGAAAATAGGTCTACTCTCGAGGCTGTTCCGACGCAGTACACGAAGAAAGGGCGCACCGTTAATGGGCACGTTCAGCGCCCAGTATCCCCCTACCGAGTGGTTTAATCCACGCGTCGTTCACCTGCACAGCGTAGCCACGCAAACGAGAGCCGCTAGCCCCTCGGTGAGTTTCAATTTGATGTGCTCACTCGTGAAAAAGGAGAAACGCATCCCCGTGTTTCGCTCTTTGATCAAAAAGGTTTCCGTCCAAAACCCGATGCAAACTTTCTTCGTTAGAAATAAATATTGGAAATAATTTTTGACGTGTAAAACGTTATGATGATACCAAATACAGATATCTTAAATCGGTGCGATGCGAAATAAATACAAATGAGAAAAGTAGTTAAAACTTTTGTACGTTGTAAAGAAGAGAAGAATGAATATTTAGATTGGCAAAAATCCTTCCAAAAATATTGCAAATACGCGAATATTATTTTTTAAATATTTCATATTTACAATTTTCTTTAATTTCTCAATCACCGATAAGAATGAATTTTAATAATATACAATAAATTATATAAGATTTCCATGCGTTTGATGTTTATACTACAATCTATCTCAAAAAATTACAATCATTTTTAACGAATTTAATATATTATTGCACTCGATCAAAGACTTTTGCCAAGGATAGCAGGTAGGAAATTGAATGCAGGAGCCAAGATTAAATTGCGCGAGTCTGAAGAGCGCACTCCGGCCGGTTAACAACGGACTAACGTTTTCAGATGATGGAGGGTCTAGATCAATCGCAGGCCAGTTTCCAAGTATGGGATGATTCGAGCTCCGTGCGATCCGCCACACTGCCCAGGCGACATCGACGCCAGGCAAGCGGCGATTCCTCTAGTTTATTGGCGAACTCGACGCCAAGGAGTTCCAGACGACATCGATCACCGTGTTCGACACTGCCCAGATCAAAGTGCTCCAGCCTGAGCAGATGTACGTCCAGAGCTTCTGTCCTTCCCCCGACCACGAACCAAGAACCGTATCAGACGCGCAATCAAACGCAAAACGGGAAAAATTCGGCCAACTCGTCGCCGAGTCGAAGCGGCGGAAGTTCCGGATCCGTAAGAACGACGAACGCGAGCCCAGCGAAAACGGCCACGTTGGGCAGATCCAGCACGAGACAATCCAACTCTAGACGACCCAGCCACGATTCCACTGGAAGCGGTACGAAATCGAACGGATCGCCTCAGCATAAGGTAAATTAAATATTATTATATTTTTCAATTTGAGAATAAAAAAAAAATACACAAGTCTTGTTTGACTGTTTGCGCTATTATATTCGTTTTAAGAATTCTGAAGAAAAATAAACGGACACATAAATCCATCGCAATTTCGTGATTTGATTAAACGTGAAAGGTTACTAATTAAAATTGACACGATACTAAAAATATATACGAAGAAAACTATTTTATTTTAAATATTAACTTAGTTTAAATTTATTAGAGAGATTGATAAATTGATAAATTGAAAAATTGATCGTATTAAAAAATTTTTTAAAAATTAAACTGCTTCTTTACATAATTATATATTTCAAAGAAAAGTTTATTTGCAAAATTCTAAATCATTTTCGAAGGAACAGTAATGTTTATTTCTCTTTATCTATTTCAAAAATCAATTTTCTCCAAACCTACTTTCTACCAATAGAAACTATCTACAGTGTAGTTTTATGTGCCAAATGGAACATCAATGACCTCAAGACGATAGAACAGATATTACGTACGTAATATTTTTCTAGGTGCTACAAAAGACATCGTCCGGCCACTCGTCCCACTCCAGTGGAAAATCGATTTCGAGCGGGAAACTCTCGTCATCGCCCTTGAAAACGTCCACGTTACCAGCGAAATCTTCCCCGCTGAAAATGGTTCAACAGGGATCCCTGACCCCTCTACAAGAGGCGCAGAATTCCATAACTCTGCAAGTATCGACGAATCTAACACCGGTCAGTCCATCCCAAGATCAGCATCGCTCGATTCAGAACAGCGTAACACTTGCCTCGAACGCCACAAGCACGACCACCATCTCCGGCTCACCTGGGACAAAGATCTACGTCCAACAAAATAACTCCCCAATGAGATCGGTGATCACGTTCGAAAACGGCACGGTGAAGACGAAATTGGCCGAAAAGGAGACTATGGACTGCAAGGAGAAACAGGATCGCGAATTGATCACCGAGAAACTCTATAAAAGCAAGATAGACGAGGAGAAATTATTCAAATCGAAACTCGACGAGGAGAAGTTGAACAAGTCGAGCAAGATCGAACGGCCTTCCTCCCTTTACGCTTCCAAAGAATCGAAACCGAGCCTCCTGTTGTCCGAGTCCGATAAAGAGAACAAACCAAAAGTGGAGGAGGAAGTGCCTAACAAATTGAAACTGACGAATCGGCTGAACAACAGCCAGGCGCATCTGATTGACGGATCCACCAACAACATTGACAAGAATTCTCTGGTCAACGAGCAATCCGGTATGAAGAACACGAACGACGCCATGAACAACTCGAGAAAATTGAGCCTATCGTTATCGAAAGACGCTTTAAGCTACAGGAACCTTCTCCGTCCGGGTTCGAAGAATAACATCGCGTCGAATCCACCCTCGCCTACGAAATCATACGATGGTTTCGGTGGATCGTTCAACAACGTCTATATAGAGAATCTCGAAGCTACGAAGCAGCAGAGGGCGCCTCAAGGCTCGGAGCCGAACTTGGAGAAAACGGTCAGTCGGGGAGATCTGTACACGTATCCAAGTTTGAGCGATATGCAGGTTCAATTCACCAGCCTGGCGGCGCAAAAGATTCTAAAAGGTTGCCCAATAAACAGCGTGGACACGTTGGTCGAAGTCAACATGGCGGCTGCCGAGAAGCCGAACAACTGCGACGTTACTGTTCACACCGACTTTGGACTCGTTTAAAATTTTCGTTCGTTTCTTTTTGATCGGGAAAAACTTGGCCTGGTTCTCTCCATACGCGTTTTTCGTACAGTGAAAGGTTGAACTTTAGCACGATGAACTTGTCGGTATCTCGTATGCTTGCGTCGTGGTAGATATGTTAAATAGCAAACGGATGAACGGATGTACTGCTTAAGCATATAGAGAGAATTGTAAACAGTTACCAATAATAAATAAACGTTTGTTATGCTCATCGAGTATATATATATATATATGTATCGCACGATCGCATGTTATCTCTTTAACCCGAACAATTTATAAGATCCGATTCATTCATGTTAAACCATCGATTATCATCCAGGTGATTCTCGAACATTGTGCTTCCATTGATATCATCTATATGCTTACGCGGATGAACGTTCGATAATATTGTATAAAATAAATCCCAGCCATTCCACAGAGAATATTCATTCATAGCTTATTCATAGTTGCTCACAGCTCAATAATCCGGCGAAATATATATTATATCCAAGCGATAACTTTTATTCGCGTGATAATTTAAGTTACGGATATCTGAATGCTCGTTGCATTGTCGTTGCTCTCATCGTTCGTTCATTGGCCATTCTCGTTTTAAAACTTATCATATCAAGAAAAATCGAAACATTTATTTGGTGTAATTTATAAAATTATAAAATTATTCGTGACTTTTATTTTTTTCATTACACGCACTTAATCGATCAATAGAACAATGCATTGCGTGCATCAGATTTCATCGTGCCTCCATTGCCTCCGTTTTTATTTTTTTCTTTTCCCTTCTTTTTTTTCCTTTTTTTTTTTTTTTTTTTAATTTAACGTAATACACGAAATGAACAATAAACGGGTACCACAGCGTCGTAACGTTAGCAGTTTTGCATCGCTTTACCGAGCTAAAGCGATTTGCTAAAGCAATACTTCACGTACGATAGCCTGACAATTTGCCTTATTCGAATGAGAGAAAAAGAGAGAAAAAAAAAGAGATAGTATTTTATGCAAATTTCAAATACTGCCAATTTTTCGTAGCGTCGATTTAGGATAACAATCAACAACCTGAGGGGAAATCGAATCTTTATAAAAAATATAAAAAAAAAAGAAACAATAATTTAACGTGCACTATTCGTTCATTTCGAGTTCAATAGTCATACAGAACGAGAGCCTGTAAGCGTTAGGCGATATTTTTTGTTTCGGTCGATATGCCAAAGTAGAGAGAAAAAGTATAGTGCAGTCAAATTTTTTTAGAATTTAGGATAACATTATTGACTACACAAACGCAAGAATATATATTACAAGTATTAAAATCGAATATGATTACCGTATTTGTAATGAATTCTCATTAAAACGGGTAAAATTTGATATAAATGAAATTCTCACGGATAATCACTGTATACGTATAAATTTTATATCTAAATTAGAGCTTTTATATACCTCTGATAAAATTGTAAGTGAAATAATTTGGAAAAAATTTTAAATCAAAATTGTCGTTTATATGAAAAAAAGAAAGAAGATATACATTTGAACTGAATTTTGCGCATGCGCAGAATATTTATATCGAATGAAATAATTATGGCGCGAAAATATAAAAAAAGTCAACTACAATGTTACGAAATTAATGACACACATACACAGATACACACACAAATACACGTATATATATATACATATATATAATGAAAAGAGGTGCATTTCCTTATTGAGAAAATAAGAAATACCATTTTATAATTAGCGCAATGATAAATCTAAGTGCCAAAATCATTAATAGTACTTAAATCGCCTTAAACCGCTTGCAGTGCGACCTCGTGGCGTCATACTGCAACGAAGTCGCGATGTAAACGAGTTCTCCGTATAAAGTTCGAATTACAATATTAATCTTAAACGTCAGACATATAGTCGTAAGACGATAGATAAGTGGGTACCGATAAATGGAACCTGCTTTGTATATTTCGTACGTTGTATTACCGATTAACCGATAGTTTTCGATACACCTCTAAGTCTTCCAGTTTTTACGAAAATGGAAGGACAGCGAGCGTTTTACGTCCTTATTTCTTATCAAAACTAACTTGTAGAGTACATGTAATCTTGCTCTATCATAATTATAACAACGAAAGCGTATGATAATAAAGAAGATAAAAAATATATGATTTTGTTATATATATCACAATCCTGAAATTATTATAAATTTAATTATTGATTCGCTTTATAATTTCAATATAAAAAATTTAACTGAAAAATCATTGGAAACTTGGCAAATAATATAAAAAAAATGATACAAATGATATGTATATTTCAATTAAATTGTTAAAAAGATTGAAAATAAATAAGAAACTAATAAAAAATATTTTTTTGCAATTATCATACACAATACACAATATAAATTACTGAATTACTACATATATTTAAATACTAGATATTTTTTTTAAAATCTTGATTGTAAAAACAAAAGTAAAAAATTAAGGAAATTTAAACAAAGAAAGTTTTCCCGCTAATACTGTCTTGATAAATAAATTTTCTCTACCATTTGTAGTTATCTACAGTTGCAAATAAGAATTCTGTAATACCTTTGAAGAAGATCAATATTCTAACGCCCTCTAGAATTCTATTAATCTAATAAATTCATTTTTAAATAAATATCTAAAAATTTCTTATTATTTAAATTATTCTATATAATAATCTAATTTTTAGATAAATATCTAAAAATATTTAAAAAGTGGATTTTGCAATCTTTGAAAACCTAATATATTTTATACATATCTTGAAGTATTATATGTTTCTTTCATTATTTGATCCTTTAAAACTATTGAAACAAATTCAGACTAATTTGATTTGAATCTTCAATTCTTTATAATTCCTATCTGTAAAAAAGCTAAATGTTTTTTTAATAGTTAATAGAAATCTAAGAATAGAAATCTAAGATACTACTTATATTTATAAATTGATTTCTTTCTTGAAAGAAATTTGAAAATATTGACTATCTATATAAAAATTTGCTTAAATACTTAAATAAAATCTAATATAATGATAAGAAGAGAAAAAAAAATCTTATATGAAATAAGTTTTCTTGAATCAATCCTATAATAATCTTTAAACGAGTCAAATTATATAACTGAAAAACCAATGAAAATATTTTCCATGCAATATAAGATCGAATAATGGAAGAACCGTAAAATATTTATTTTGTATCACAGTAATTAATATGTCTTATATATAAAATAAAAAATTTTTTAAATCAATAAAATAACTGTTTCATTTATAATGTTAATTATAATAATTTATATTACTTTATCCATTTAAATTTAAATATCTAGAATATTAATAATAAGAAAGTCAATGATAATATTTATTAATTATTTATTGCTATATAACTGATTATTTTTAATTCTAATTTTTTTATTTTTTTTGTCAATTGTAAATTAATTAACATTATAAATAAAATATTTATCTCATTGAAAAGAATTACCTTTGTATCGTCCATCAGGTGATGCAGGAACATGAATAGTATCCACAATTGTAGTGGAAATTGAATTTGGGCATTCAGTATTCGTAACACTATATGAATAAACGCGATTATTTTTTAACGCAACACTAATTGAAAAAATAATAAGAAAAATCGCGGTGGAATCGCAACACTAATTTAAAAAAAAAAAGAATTTAATTCAAAAACTATTATTTCTGTACCAAAAGCTACAATTAATTGAAAGTAAAGATTTTAATAACAAATAACGTTTAATAAATTTTAATGCTAAATTTGTAAAAAATTATAATTATATTGTAATAAAAAAAACCCGATATCTTATAATTCGCAACACTAAATCAACCCGTAAATAAATTTTCGCAACACTAATACAAAATCGCGAAATGCCCACTGGATAGGATGATAACTGGATCTAAATGGCATGCAAATTAGGCCGGCATGCATCGGCCACATAATAAAAAAAAAAATTACTACTACATATTACTAAAATGAGCACAATGACAAAGTAGTAACAAAAATGATTTCCCATTCTTTGAATTCGAAGAGAATCCAAAAAATGAGAAACCATTAGTAGTTGCCCTCTTCTATGGCAATTTGCCGGGCCTCTTCGGCTCATAGCCTCTTCTTTCTTCGGGCGCAATACCCGCTGAAACTTACATCTAGGCTCGAGATTCACTAATTGCAAACAAAAAAAAAAAGAAAAAAAAAAACCAATGATCGTTGTCTATACATATTGTATATTCTCGAGCACATCGCGAAATTCGAAAAATCGATGAAAAAAGTGAAATACAAGCCATATCGTCTCAGCTTCATCCTCGATTTTTCAAATTTTATTCCCTGAAACAGATTGTCACGCGAAAACGCGCCTACCCGATCAGAGACTGTGACAACCTGCCCGGCCCTACCTACTTATAATTAACAGACACACCAGAAGTATACTACCTATCCTACCTAGTTCTATATTTAAAAAAATGGCAAAACAAGCACACCAACACATTCATTCCACGATTCTCACGCATAATACTCGGGCGCAAAAGCCTAAACTAGGGAAACGTCCCGGGACGCCTCCGACACCCGAGCTTGGCACACTACATTCACACTCTAACTTTACGTACCATTTTCCTGAAATCAACTGACGATGGTTAGCGACCATTGCGTAAAATATGATAAAAAAATCGTATCTATATTAATTTTTCTTAATCGTAAATATTTATATTTGAAAGAATATATATATATCTTTTAAAAAAAATGAAGTTGCTATATGTAAAATATAGTGATTGATGATATTTATTTCATATCTTATCATTTCATATTTTTGTTATTATTATTAATTATTATTTTGATGATAAGATTAATAATATATAGATGTAATATTATTAATATATAAATAATATATAAATAATAAAATTATTAATATATAATTGAATTAGTAACTATAAGTAGTAGAATATTATGATTATTATTTTAAATATTTCAAATTTTAATAAATTAACGACGCAATTCCACAGCCTAACCACACACACACATAATGTGGAAAATACGTCGTGCACGATACACTAACACATCGTCAGTCGCTAAAAAAATTATTATAAACTTAAAAATTATGTTCATCGTGCCTATCGCCTTTCTCTCATTCAAGTAGCACCTGGGCACGTGAATGAGATCCTGGCAATAAACACGGAAAGGGTTAAACCTGAAAATCCTGAGCTAAAAAAATATTAGTATATTTTGTATTTAACGGACTATGATTTATTTTATTTCAAACATTAATAAATATATTATATTATAATATATTATAAATTTAAAAAAGTATTTGAAAATTTTAATAAAAAAGAAAGAAAAATATTTATAATAAAAATGAAATTTATTTATTAAAAAAGATATTGATAATAAAATTCAATAAATAAAAGTAATTGACAAAAATAATGATATATTAAATGATATATTAAAAGAAATAACCTCAGACGATCTTTTCATCAAAGCATATTTTTAAAAAAATAAAAAATTGATATTCAAAACTTATTGCTTTGATACTGAGATCTATCTGTCGCGAAATGTCTTCTTGTACTTAAAATTTATTACATTTTTAGATGAAAGAAATAAAATTTTAATATATTTATTATATTAGAATTCAAATAACTAAATTCTTAAAATATTATCATGAAATAAAATTAAAAATAATTTCATTATTTCATTATTAATAATATGTAAGTATTCTCATTTTATAATAATTGGAATAAAATCAGAAGATATGCAATTTTTCTATTATTTAATTAATATTATCTATTATTTATTATTTATTCAAATTTTTATATAGATACTTAATTTTTACAAATATATTCATACTAAATATATTGTATATACAATTTTTTAATTTTAGACATTAATTTTATTTAGAATTTATGCTAAATTATAGCAAATTTTTTCAAATACTAATATTCAAACTAATTTAATTAATATTAATATTAATATTATATTCATATTATATTATTATTAAAAAAATTATTAATATTCAAAAATACGATGTACAAGAAGACCTAGCCTGAACTAATAAATAAAATGCAAAAGATGGAAATGTTACTACTCGCGAATATAATAAATATTCGCGGTCATTGTGCTCATGAAAAAAATCTACGTAGTACAACCAATCACTCGTGTCGATTCGGATCTTTCATCCTACGACATGATTGAGTGACCAGAGGAATAAAAATACATGCGACTCACCATTCGATGCGAAGAACGTTATCATTGATTCTGTTATGGCCAAAGAAAAAGTCAAGAAAATTGGTAGAAATCTGTAACAAAATATAAAATATTATATCTATTTTAATAGAAGAATAAAAATTTTAATTTTTTGAATATCAATTGCCTTGATTAATTATAATAATTAATAATTTATTTTTTGATTAATAACTTATAATGTAATTAATAAAATAAAGGAAGTAGAAAAATATATGAAAAAAATTACCTCTTTATATAATGGATGATCATCTTGAAATTAGCACTGACTCTATTCTATACCAAAAATAAATATTTTTATATTAAAAAAAAAAAAAATAAAATAAAAAATAAACTATTAACACATCTGTTTAATAATTTACGGAAAACACTGACTCTAATTTCGCGTAAGACTATTATAATTACACTTAATTAAGAATTATTATACTTTAAAAAAATATTAAAAATATTATTACAAAGCAAACACTGATTCTATAGACCACATTGCGCGTGGCCATAAATATTTTTCATAAATTCAAAGAACTTTCAATTCAATCTTTGAATAGAAGCTATCAACAAAAAAATAATATTATATATTTAGTATATATTTATTATTATATTATATTAATATATTATTAATATATTAGTATATATTATATATTATTATATCTATTATATCTTTAAAAATAAAATATTAAATATAATTTAAAAGTACAACATTAATTATTAAAAAAATTTTTTAATTTAAAATTAAATTTTATCACCTTTTGCCAAGTCATCATGGCGTCTATATATATTGAAATTTTTGCCACTTTTTTATCATTCCATTATATCTGCAATTAATTAATAACCTACATAAAAAATCAAGATTTTCAAATAAATATATA